GACTGGCAGCGCAGCAGCCAGGGATGTCTTCCTCAGCTCCAGGGAATGGTGCCCAAAACTGATCGCACTGCACCATGTCCCAATCTCCCATTCCCCTGTGAATAGAGAAAGGTGTCCTTGTGCCCTCAGCCCCTTCCACCCCAGAGCAAAACACCTCCCCTTTTTGGGTACAGGCCACAGAGGGAAGGACTACATGGAGGCCGGGCTTGAATGCAGCAGAACTTTAATTAGTCAAAAGAGGGAAAGAAAATCACACCGAGTGGTGGCCGCCAGTGCAGGGAGCCCCGGGGGAAGCCAAGAGTCTGCAGACCTTGGCCTTGGAGAAGTTCTTGCACGATGTCTGTCTGTCTGTGTGTCCCATAGAGGGACAGGAGGCAGATGGTCTGTACCAGGCTGACCTTGGTGGGACCTTGCTGCCAAGGGGAACCGAAGCAAACAATGAAAGGGGAATGAAAGGCAAAGCCACTCAGCTAAACTGAAAACATAGCCAAAAAATCTCAATCCCCTGCCCAGTACCATGTTTTGAGTTCCTCAAGGAGTCTCCGTGGGTCTGTCCCAGGCACATATTTATCACAGGAGGCATCTTCTGCCATAGTAGCGGCTGGAAATGCCAGAGAGGTCAGAGCACCCAGAGGTGATGGGCACTCCATCACAGCTGAGGATGCTGCCAACGGCAGCGGAGGTGGAGGATCCCACAACGGTGTTCTGCGGGAAGGAGCTGAGGATGGGGCCGGGCAGGGTCACCACCACGGGAGGGGGCTCAATGACAACGGTGGAGTTCTGAGCGGTTGGCCAGCGGGGTCGGGCCGCAGGGCCGGCATGGCAGGCACTGGTTGTAGCGGGACATGTCGCTAAGGGTCCAGAGGTGCACCTGGGAGAGAGTGCAGGGAGGAAGCAGAGCACAAGAGTGAGTGAGGAGCAGCCTGGATACCCCGTCACAAAGAATGAGGAGTGGGTAACTGGAAGCAGGGCCAGGAACCATATGTTCTTCATTGCCCTCCAAAGAACAGCCTGGCTCAGAGAGGCGTTCTCGTAATTCATTAATCAAAACTCCCCTCAGCCACATCCCAGCCTCTCTCTAAGCAGAACTTCCACCCACTTCTTTCTGTCATGACAAGGAGCTCCAGGTTCCATCACAGGACAGAGCCAATATCAGCTGAGTTGTCCATCAAGAAGAGATCCCACTCTGGAAGAGGAGGAGAAGGGGCTTCAGACTTACCGAATTCCAAAGGAGAAGGAAGCAGGAGAAGGGGATGAGGGAGCAGGGACTTGGGTTGGCTCTTATACCTGCCCTTCATTGCCGCAGGACCAGAGGCACCCCTTGCAGAGGGAACAATTTTCTGACAAGCTCATCTTGAATGCAAACCATCACAGCTAATGACACGGGCTGTGCTTTGGTTTCCCACACTG